GAGAGCCAAATCAGTTTAGATCTATAAGCTGCTTACAGCTCGCATGCGAATATCCTTGCATGTCGCTGCTTCGTTTTCTGCATATTCTCCATTCGAGACATGCAGAACAATCAGCATAATTTCACTTTATTTCTGTGTGCGAGCGCCAAGCACTCGAATACTTTTCAATTTATTTGCTGCTTAGCTGCTGATGACATAAAGCGCCCAGGAGCACAGGACTAAATAAAAAATGTATTTATAATAATAATAAAAAAAAACAAGTAAGAACGTTGCAGTCGGGCGTTACCGACTGCGGAATACTCATTCACATCCCATCAACAATTTAGTAGTTAAGTTTCGTTCTAATACTGTAGAATATACAGGTTTTTCCGATTTGCCACGCCCCAACTGGGCGTAGACACCTCATTTTTGGTCAGTTTTTAGAAAGAGATAACGTTACCCTAACTGCAAAGTTTGAATGCTTACCCTAAAAAATTGTGAAAATTACAGGGTATTTTTCGATATGCCACGCCCCTAAAGAGGCGTAAAAATTATTTTTGGGGAATCGATAGAGGAGGCTACCAGTAACTCAACTATCCAAATTTGAAGCTTCTAGCTATTATACTTTAGGAGATATAAACTTTTGCGGTTTGCCACGCCCCCTGTGGGCGGACATATATCCGACAAAACTTTTTGGTCTTGGGTGATCAGTCCGAGTATATATACAAAATTTGAGGTCTCTGCCATCAATAGTGTCCAAAATATAGGAGAATTTAAAAAATCACTATATCTTCAGGTCCGATTTGCCACGCCCCCAACGGGCGTAGACTTATATTTTATCTTCAGACTTTATAGAATCATACCATTAGCTGACGTGCAAAATTTCAGCATTCTAGGCTTACAACTTTAGGAGATACAGTTTTATCCGATTTGCCACGCCCCCAATGGGCGTAGATATATCCGCCATAGCTCGTGATCTTGGGTGGTCAACGCGGACCTACATACCAAGTTTCAGCTTTCTAGCTCTTCAACAAACATGATTTCTGGTATATCGGAAAATGCATTTTCCGATTTGCCACGCCCCTAGTGGGCGGATCGGGAAAATTTTAACACTTTATAAATCGGAGATATACACGAGTATGTGTTCCAAATTTCAAGTCTCTAGCTTCAATAGCGCCGAAATAGATTGCGTTCATACGGACAGACGGACAGACGGACAGACGGACGGACAGCAAGACGGACATTGCACAAAACCAATATACTGATTCACTTTCGTGAATGAGTATAACAACCGCGAATACTCAGAGGGCTCCCCACACACACACACACACACACACACACATACAGATTTCGTATATGAATGAATAAGCGCACGCTGACATTCATCCGCACAAATGAATGGGTGCCAAAAACCTGCGCATTTAGACAACTTAACAGGGATCTAAAAGGTTTTGCCTGTCAAGCACACACGCATTAAAAAATAAATATAAAAAAATAAAAAAATATAAAAAATATATATATAATATATGCAGATGTATATGTGTATATGTGTATGCTGATATGTATATAATATTTGTAGTATTTTACATATAGAATCTGCTGTAAAGCAAATTTGTATTTCAATTGATTTTTATGTTGGCGTATGTCAAATTCTTTGATAAAATATCAATTTTCATTTGATATATATTATTTATTTATTTATTTATTAAGAATTAGAACTTATAGATTATTAAACTGTAGACAGCAGCGGGTTGGTTCAATTAAAAATGTTTCTTCACTTTAGCATGTCAAAGTGAAATTCCATATTTCAGACTATATGTTCTCTGGAATAGACACTCAATCTGACAACTTTACCATTCCATTACATTTATATATTCATGCTTGTGAGCAAACTAAAATTTTTAAGTAAAGTCTCTGATAAAGAGCGAAACTTAGGCCCGCATGCATTAATGTATTGTAAAAAACACTCTATATGGAGCATATGAATTAATATATGTGAGCATGTGCCTGGGCTTATAAAGAAATATGTTTATCACCTACTTTGCCTGGCTCACTCCCAGTTTGTTGTCTGTTTTGGCAGCTGCCTCTTCTTATTCTTCTTCTTCATTTTTTATGCGGCATTTAGTAAATTTTCATTTTCCAAATGAAATTTTATCGCCCCAGCTCCAGTGCGCGCCCCTCAAGCGTTGCTTTCTAGTTTATCTTCCACTGCTGCTGCTGTTGTTGTTGCTGTTGTCTGCACATGTCCCTGGCAGCTGTTAGACACAACCAACACACACACACACACATGCGCTACAGTTATATGGCTGACAAAGGCAGTTTAATTTCATTTCAATCATGCTAAAAGCAAAACATAATAATTTATATAACTGTCAGAGGCATCAGCAGCAGCAGCAGGAACAGCAGCAGGAGCAGCAGGAGCAGCAGGAGCAGCAGGAGCAGCAGGAGCAGCAGCAGCAGCAACACCAGCTCAAAGTGTAAATTAATAAAGCCTCGCATCGTAGACTTCAATAAGCACATAAATCAGTTGCTCGCCTAAACGTGTTTTTTGTAGCCAACTTTAATGCACTCGACTCCCAGGCGAAACATATGGATCTCTCTCTAGATATATGCAAGGATTTTGTTTTATCTTATTTTTTATACTTTTATGCTTTGCTATTGATGGAGTAGAGAGAAAGGTTTTTCCACTGCTGACTCTTTGTGAATTATTAATGAAGGCGGCTGCTTGCCGCACACAGTGTGAAATCAGACGCTACAACAACAGCAGCAACAACAGCAGCTTAAGCCACACACATTGTTGCTTCTCTGCTTGAAATTTGACACAGGGGATCAGTGGCAAAATGGCCGACAGACGACAGCCAGGCTGCCATATTTTTACACACACACACACACACACACAGACAATCACACACTCAGGCAGCAAAGATGCTGCGACTTTAATCTGACCTTGAGCGAGCGCCAACAAAGTGTTACCCGAGCGGCGTCAGTTTCAATTATGTTAATGTTGTGTCTGCGCTTCATTTTTGTTTTTGCCTGCAGAGCAGACGCTATTGTGCACTCAAATGGCTAGCAATTTGGCACTTTATAACAGGCATATTTTACAGCACACACACACACACTCGCACACGCATACATACGCACAGGCTTTAATTAAATTAACACAACAAACCACACACACACACAGTCGCGCAAAGTAAGCAAAAAATTTATTTAAATTTTTTACGCGAACGTTTTCTGATTTTTATATAATTGCATATGATTGTTGTTGTTGTTGCTGCTGGCTCTTGTTGTTGTTGCTGCTGGCTGTTGTTGTCGGCTGTTGCTGCAATGTCCTGGCTCGGCCAGATCCAGCTGTGTGCATTAAAAAGCCACTTTGCGGCTTCCTGTGAACACCGCCCCTTGGCGTGCCAACATGCCTGTGTGTAAATTTGTGGGCAGCAGCAGCAGCAGCGATGTGGGCGTGGCCGCACTTTAATCGCCAGCAGGGCTTAAAGCGCAGGTAAGCAACTGCCGCCAGCAGTGGGAGTTGTGCTTAATGCGTCCATAACTACAAGTGCATAGGCATAAAAGCCAAGTTGGGTTCGTGTTTGGATTTTGGATAGGGGTACGGGTACGGGTGTGGGTATGGGCATGGCTATGGGTTTGGGTTTAGTGCCTGCACAAGTCTCGGCTTATCTAATCCTTTACAGCAACTCTGTACCTGAGCACTTTGTGGGCTTAGCCAAGAATACGAGACAAAGAGAGAGAGAGAGAGGGGCAGACGGAAAGTGAAGGTGGGTCACTTGCTGGACGCTTTTATGAGGCATCGTAAAAACTTTTGTGGCAGCCAGTCGAACGTGCGCCTAGAAATATGCTATGCATACAATTTTAATGCCACTGCCAGAAGACGAGGGCCGAAAAAGCCAAAGTTAAGTTTATATTGTCGACGTTTTTATTGATATCGTAAAATGGCGAGGACCAGCACGAAATACCCGTACCGCTCGAGCGGCCTCGAGCCCGCCTGCTCTTCCGTCCGTCCGTCTGCCTACCACACAATTTGCATAGTAAATTTATGAGACAATTACTGAGCATTTTTGATTTAATGACAATTATTGTCATAATTTTCATAAAATTGCCTGCCGTGTTCTCTTTTTTCGCTGACTCTCTCTCGCTCTCTCGCTCTCTATCTCCCACTACATCTGCCTCTATCTCCCTCTCCCTCTGTTTTGCTTAGCTAATGCCATGCTTTTTGGCACATTCGTGTCACACACACACACACACACACACACTCGCACACCGAAAGAGAGAAAGAAACGCGTTTGGGGAAAAACAAAAACGAAGCAAAGTTTGGATATTTATGCGTTTTCGTGGCTCATGAATTTCGAAGCATACTTCACTCAGCTGGCGGCCCCAAAAACTCCGCCCGAGTGTATTTTCCATATTCGCCTGTTGGGCTTTGCATGCGCTCGTAAAAAGTCTACGCCGTATTCTGGAGTCTACTTTGTGGGTCCGCTTTAAGTGGCCGTCTTCATAGCGTCTCCCATTTCAGAGTTTTCCTCTTCCTTTCCTTTCCTTTTTGGCTTTTATTCTTTTTCGGCTTTTACTCAACTGTAGCTTAGGCTATGCAGAGCTGGCTGGCAGAGTTACTTGGGTAGCTCGAGCTTATTGATTAATAATAGAACTGCAAAAATGTTCTCATTAATCATTTCTAGAATAAAGATTATTAAAATTGCAAATGATTTTTTCTTTTTTTTTTCTAGTATTTCCTAGGCACTTTTCTTTATGTACACATATGTATTCAACTGTAAATATATCTATAATTTATTTAAAATATTTTAATAATATCTATTATCTTCTCACATATCCAGCTGAATTTCATACAATTCTCTTTAGTTCAGTCTTAATTTCTTTGGCTTCTTTTGCACATACATACACACACATATATACACCTATACTTATATAGCCTTCAAGTTGTCATTCACCTTCTGTTTGAGTATCCTTGTCTCTATCAGTCGCAGCTTTTGCTTTTATTTCATTTCTCTTTCAGCTCGCCCACGTTTCTTACTCATTTCTTACTCATTTCAATTAGCCAGTCACGCAATTTGCTTATACAGTTGTCTGCCAACATCGCATAAATCAACATTGCCCCAAACCATCGAATTTGATCAATTTTTGCTGCTGGTAAGTTGGGTGTGCGTTAAATAACTCTGTTAGTGCTCCATTATGAGCTCTTTACTTCATTTAGCTGCAACTGCTGCAAATGAATTGAGTCAATCGATCAATGAATTGAAAGTGTTAAAAATATACAAATTTATATATATTTGGGATAACTGCTCGACTGTCATATTGAAAAGAGTACAAAAGGAATTAACTAATCCATACATTCAAATAGTCTTTTCAAAGGAAACATTTTCCAAACACAGTTAAAGCTCAAATAATGAAAATATTGTGAGTGCCATTCAGAAGAGTGGCATGAAATTCAGAGTTCTTGTTTAGCTGCTGCTGTGTGTGTGTGTGTGTGTATGTTTACCGTTTTGCGGTTATACGTTTTAGGTCTGGCTGTCAGTGAGTGTGTCCACTTGTCTGGCATCAATAACCCGACGATGCTTATAAAAATGCAAACAAATTTTGCGCGCTGGCACACAGATACACACAAACACACACACAGAGAGAGAGGAGAGAGAGAGAGGGGTAGAGTGGGAGAGAGGGGGAGATACACAGAGATATGCAGGTGTTGTTTGTCCAGGCTTTGGGGCACTCAATTTGTCACATTTGAAATACGACGACAAACAAAAACCAAGCACTACACTGCACAACACAACACAGCAAAGCCGAGCGACTCGAGCGCTTCGCAACAAAACAAAATCGAATTGCATTTTTATTTACAAACGCTTTGCACTTCAGTCAAAACGCAAATGCGAATGCGAATGGCGTTCGTTGTTTTTAGAAAAAATACTCGACTCACTCGACTGGCAATTGGGGTTGACTGTGGGCGTGGGCGTGGCCGTGGTCGCAGCTGCATTTGGGGTTGGCATCGCAGTGGGAAATGTGCACCACTCAGCTGCATAAAACCGTTGAAATGCTAAATATCCGAGTGCGCTGCACATCAAGTGTGCGGGCAAACACATTTGAGCAGCTTTCCGCGGCTCAAATCAAGGGCATATTATTTGGCAGCACTCACGCCCGAACTACAGTTACAGCTTCCCTCCCTCCCCCTGCCAGCATCAACACCCTTGCGACAAACAAGAAAATCAACTTAGAAATGATGGCTCCTTGGTGGGCGCAGAACAAAAATTAAACATAAGAAACAAAAGCGCAAAATCATAAAAAACATAAAATAAATGTAATAAAAAAACAACGGAGATGCGAAGAGAAGAAAAAAGAGGCAAACAATGCAATTTTCGGGGCGTATGTGTAACAGGCCACAAAGGTCATAAAACCATATCAACGCCATTAAATGTACAACGGGGGGTAAGCCGAAACACACACACTCGAATGAATGTGTGTGCGAGTGTGTGTGTGTGTGTGTGTGTGTGTGTGTGCGAGTGTGTGGGTGGATATATAAACACCTTTGGGCGGAGAGTGAGAGCTTTGCTGGCGCAGCTCAACAAAATGCTATAAAAAAGTGCGCAACAAAAAGTTGCGAGGGAAGTGGTGCGGGGAGTGGGTCGGTTAGTTGGCAAGTGAGCCACCTACGGCCGGGCTGCTGCTGCTACTGCTGCTGCCGGCAAATGAGATCCCGTGCGCTTGTTGGCCGTGCCCGGGCGTTTAGACAATGTAAACGCCGGATAACCACAAAAAACTAAACAAACTGAGGCGAACTTCGACTCTGGGGCGAGGGTTGATGCTGTAGCTAAAGCGAGTGTTGCCTGTGCTCTGCCAGCCGGTGTGACTCAAGTGTGAGCACAGACGAATTTTTTACGATGCTCAAACGATTCACGTACCACGGGATGCGCACACACACAACAAAAAATGGCTAAAAAAAATGAAGAAGAAGCAGGAGAAGGGGAGGAAAACACGGCAGGGAGCACAGCGGCCGGCCATGTGAGGGCGTCGATGAAATTAGGACGGCAGCTTAAGGTGAATAGGTTGCCAAAACAGTAAACTAGACAAACACAACAGAGGAAGAGAGAAAGAGAGAGAGAGAGAGAGAGAGAGAGAGCCAGACCGACTCTCCGTTTTAATGAATGTTTACAGGTGTTGCTGCAGCACCTTTGCTTCGCGCTCGATCATCGTAAGCTACACAATTAGTGCCACGCCCACTACTTACGTTTTTGGCCAGTGCTCAGCATTAGTCGCGTTAAGTGTGGCGCAACGTAATCGACATTGCTTAGCGTTATGTAACATTAACGTTACGTTAACAACAATGGGCAGCAATTAGCCTTTTTTTTGCTGCTGATGCCGTCTCGCTTTGGCATTGGCAACTCAATTAAGCGGCAGCCCCTCCAAGCTACCCCTAAACTACCCCCAAAACTAGTCAAATAGCTGAAGCATTTTGTAATGCAGCCAACAAACAGCGAGCATTTAATGAAACTCACGTGCTGCTAAATGCCAGGCAAACACACACGCACACACACACACGCACGCACACATTCACTTAGACTAAACAAGCTGCATTTACATTTAGTTTTTATATCCTTTCAGCTTTATCACTCTAATGAAGGCAATTTAAATAAAATGCATTGAAAATTGCATTTAGCAACATGCAAGTATTTGATTAAATGGCTTTCAAAGCAGCTAAACAGCTGTACAAGTTGAAGAAGAAGCAGCATATTGTGTGCGCCAGCCAGCTCGAATAATTGGCAGAGGAATTCAAGTGAATTAATACTGAGAACCTAAATTGATTCAAAGCAGTTCTACTAATTGCTCCAATGGAGTGGGAATTCAGTTCAGTTTAAGGCATTGTAAATGAAAATGATTCAAGAATAATATTTGAGGCCCAACAGCTGCCTCATATAAGCTGATTTGAGAACAAAGCTATTTAATTCTCATTAACAATAAATATTACAATTTATGCGCCAACAAAGTTTCGCCGACTCAAAAACTCCACAAAAAAAAAACTAAATAAAAAGCTGTCAAATGAGGCCATTTTATTTTGCACTTAATAAACGGCAACTTTAATGGCCCAAACACATGCAGAACAAGCTGCAAATGGCCAAGAGAGCGGGTGTGGGAGAGCAGAGTAAAGAGTGTTTTGCTTTGATCGATAAGAGCCGCGGAATACGAGCTTAAAGTAAGGATAAACGCTCGCCTCATACCCCAGATCGAAGGCCATAAATACAAATACCAATTTTATGAGACAAAAAGTATAAAAGTTGAACAAAAAGCAAATACATATACAAAGGAAAGGCACAAGGCCTAAACTTGAGCCGCGCACCGCAAACAGGAAGCATAAAAGCAAAGCGTGAAATATGTCAAAATGGCCAACAACAACTTTTGCCAGTCATAAAACTGTTGCCAGCAGCAGCTGGGGTAGCAGCAGGAGCAGCAGGAGCAGGAGCAGCAGCAGCGCGCTCGGCCACAAGCGAAACGCGATAAAATCCACACAAAACAGCCAAAACAAAAACAAAACACAAGCAGAGCAAAAGCAACAGCCGCCGCGAGCCGCAACTAAACAAAAAGCGAGCAGAGCAAAGCCATAAAATACGCAGAACTAAAAAAAAAAGGGACAGAAATATGTTTTGCAAAGTTTATAAACAATATGTTAAATCAAAGTGGCCAAAAGCGAGCCACGCCCAGAAACGGGCAGCGGCGAGCGGTCCTTAAGCGTTTATTAAAGGCGTCGACTGACAGATTACAGGTGTGTGCATTAGCTCGGGCCAACGGGGCGTATGCGCAACAAGAGCCTCAGAGCACACAGTTGCGATATATACAGAGAAATATATATGTATATATATGTGTGTATGTATGTATGTGTGTATATAATGTGCAGACAGTTTGGGGCAATGTCAACAAATTGACACATTAAAACAAATGAGGCCACTGCGACCGATGCGAACCCAGCCAGCTGTCGAATCCTGCCACGGGCTGAGGGGGCAAGCCAACTAATGGCGCTTGTTAGACGACTTATGCGTAGTTTTTCACACACACACACAGAGAGGGAGAAGGAGAGAGGAAGTGAGAGTGAGAGGGAGAGGAAGAGAGAGGGAGAGAGTGGGCGGAACTTGAGTTAAAGTGTGGCAATATTTATAGAGAATCGAGTTAGTGCCAGTCGAGGAAATTAACGCCATTGCAGGCGTGTGAATGTGTGTGTGTCTGTGTGTGTGTGTGTGTGTGTGTGTGTGTGTGTGTGTGTGTGTGTGTGTGTCTGTGTTTTTTCCGTTCTTTATGCGACATCTAAACACATATTTCTGTTGACTTTGCAACCCAAAAAAAGAAAAGAAAAGAAAAGAAAAGAGAACAGCAATTGAAGATGGAGCAGCAGAGCCAGCTAAAACAACCTTGGCAACACCTGGCCAAGGGGCGTGGCAGTGCGAAAGTTTTTTGCCGTCGCCTCACGCATAAATCAAGTTAATCATTTGGCACCAAAGTTGCGCAGACGCTGCGCAAATTGGACATTTATATTTTACGCTCAGAGCAGCAGCAACAACAACAACAACAACAACAACAACAATGGCAACAACAACAACAATAGCATTACTGTGGCATGTTCTGCTGTGTTAAATTATGACGCCGTCCAACGGCATTTGCTGTGTATTTCGTTGTGTTGTGCGAGCCAAGATTTATGATCCAGCGACTTGTACTTGACATTTTCAGCTTTACGCCACTGCCTGATGGCTGAATTAGTGTAAATTACTGGCCAAGTCAACTTGAAAGTTAGATCATCAACTTACACACACAGACACATATCTGTGTTATATAAAGCAAACCTGTCTCGGCTGCCTGCTTCGTGTTTGCGTTCATAAAGGAATCTCGGCTTACCTGAAATGAGCAGAAATAGAGAAATGTCAAATGTTATTCAAGTTTAATTGCATTTCAAATAGAAGCAGCTGAGCATACACAAATTATGCAATATGCTAATCAAATGACAGCAACAACAACAATGGCGATATCAAATAGAATGTCAGCTCATAAGCAATCGGAACAGAATTGGATTATGCGCAAAAACTAAACAAAAATTGATTATTTCTCTAGAGACAGCCTGCCCGGGTGAGCAGCTCAGTGGGAGGGGCTGGGGACTGGGGACTGGGGTGTTGGGTGGGAGCAGGAGGCACACAAACTTTAGCTCGGCAACAACTTTGGCCATAAAAATGC